ACAAATCATTTTGAGAAAACAGATTTTTGAAAGAAGTGCCAAACATGGACTGCTTTGCCAGATACAGAGTCGCCACCTAAATATTTTATTTTTGGGAAATTTAGGAAACCCTGACTCGTTTGCCTAAGGCCGCGTGTCCGTCATCACCAAAGTTGCCTCGGCTCGGGAACTTGGGTACGATTGGGGAAGGTCACTTCGTGAGCACCCCCGCTCGCCCGATCAAAGATCGGCCTCTACTAACCATGATATCTAGTTTTGAAAACTTTGTGTGCTCTTATTCCAGTTATTAGCCTAGTTTTACTATGTGATACGCACAGCATACAAGTATAGACCGGGTCGCCTGAATTGGAACAAAACATTTCATGTTTGTTTTTTTTTTTTAAAGATGGTTTGCTACCCGCAGGTAGGCTTAAAATGCAAATTTTGCCACCCTCGGGTGGGCTTAGAAAAGATGGTTTTGCCACTATCTAGTGGGCTTAAAACAAACAGTTGATGAATTGTTCCAATCCAAATAACCCAACCTCCACCTACAGGCATTCAAGCAGTTATATCACATAAGCAAATAGCCTCATGGTAAGCATGCTATTCATGGCAATCACTCACACGCATGCAAGGATGCTAAAGCATAAAAACTCACCGAGTACTCCAAGCCAAAACAGAAACTCATTAGAAATCCATGTATGATCCTAGATACACAGGATTGCCTAATGCAACACATGCAAAGATGCAACTATAGCAGGCTCAGCTATTCTAAACATGGCCTATGGAATGCTACAGCTAGCATGTATTCAACTTGGAATTGAAATACAAATGCAGTTAGTATGATGCGCCGAGCCCGGTGCATGCAAAACAGATGAATGAATGCAAACATGCTATCATACTGTATGCTAATTGAAACATGCCCTAATCTAACCATCATAAGCAGGTAAATAAAAGGGAAGAAAGACGTGGGGTTGGAAGACATACATCACACACACGCACACTTATTACAGTTGTGCCCTCGCG